CCTGTCCACGGCAATTTATCTTTTCACCCACTTTTCTTTCTTCAAAGTTACTTTAGAATTCGGTCTAGTAACTTCCCCTATATTTTCCTTGGCAATATTGTCATTTAGATCTCATTATGGTTGTGTCAAAGCGCCGAAATGCGAGCCCTTAAGCATACACTCCTTTCTGAATTCATTACCAAGTGTCTCGTACTGGCAGACTTTGTGCCGTTAGGGTGTATACGAGGGACTATTAGTCAGCTGCCATCTCATATTAAGTTCACGTGCTACGTGACGCGAAAGAGGCTCATAAAAGAGTGCGCCACACTTGCCGCCATGACTACTGGTAGCTCTGATTGACACTCCCACGCTTAATATATATATATATATATATATATATATATATATATATATATATATATATATATATATATATATATATATATATATATATATATATATATATACCTAATAAAGTGGCTGGGAAGATAGCCACCATGCTAGCTCAGTGGTAGAACATCGAACTCGTTATTCGTATGTGACAGGTTTGGTTCCTGCCCACAGCAAGTTATCTTTTGACTGACTTTTCTTTCTTCGTATTCACTTCACTAATCGGTTTAATAACTTCCCCTACACTTTTCTTGGCATAATTGTTATCTAGATTTCCTTATTATTGTGTCAAAACACCGAAATACAAAGCCCTTAAGTATACACTTTACACTTCTTTCCGTATATATATATATATATATATATATATATATATATATACATATATATATATATATATATATATATATATATATATATATATATATATATATATATATATATATATATATATATAGGTACGTAGGACGTATAGGTTAACATAAAAGCACATTGTAGTTGCTATATTGCTGTTATGTTTGCCTTTTCTGATGATTTCCTAGTATAGAGAGGAGATCGGTGCGTAGGAACATTGCGATACGTTTTTGTTGGAACAGTGTAAACTGAAATCTTTTCAGTTAAAAATTCTTCAACGTAGTCGTAATGAACAAAATCAAAGTATTTGAGGAAACTCATGTGGAGAAAAAAGAAGAAGAGGATCTTTTCAAGCAGCAAATCAAAATGATGGATATTTCTTTTTATTTTGTCAGCGTTATTCTTATCAGAGAAAAATATATTTAGTAGCCCCAATACAAAAGCTACGAATACAAGTAAGTCTACCAGTAATCTTATCACTTGGCGGAACTTCATTTGGTTACTGCCACAGGGATATATGCGCCACGGTGTTTGATTACATCAACGCAACTAAAAGATTACCGTGCTAGTGAACACTAACATTTTTGGATCTTTAGTTTATAATTCGTAGCTATCTCTATCAAAAACAAGAGATGGTTTGACCGCTTGCTCAGCAAACATTTTTGTTTTTTTCTGGTATTATTTTTAAACTACTTTTTCAGATTGGCTTCAGTTTCATTTTAGTTTCATTTAAGTGTCCTGCCGCCCGCTTCTTGGCCTATCCCTCTCTGTGGGTGAGCGCCATCCATCAGAGGTCATCAGCATCAGCATCAGATAGCGATTTAGCGATCCAGTGTCCTTGGCTTCGAATCGAAACAGAAAGAGAGAGCTTCATTCGATAGTACAGAAAGGGACAGCGCTCAAGTCTGATAGACCTGGTGCGTATACGGAAGAATTGCACAATATAAAAAAAACTAGAGATCAATAATGAAAAACGCTATCGAGGAACCCTAGTAAGAGCTAAAGCAATGCAAATGACTTTAAACGAGAATTTAACGAAACGGGCACTAGGACTCAAGAAAAGTCAAACGAGGCGGAATCTTATAGAAACTATTGAATGCGAGGGTGGCAGACAATAATAGCATTGGGCGGTTTTTTTGTAAACACTACGGGGCACTATTTTTTTGCTAGACCAGTTGATGTGGACGTGTTTAAAGATTCGTTTCTCGGAAGACTGCCGTGGTTGTCCGATGACACAAAAGCGGCGTTACAACTGCCTGTATCGCAAGAGAGAGAGAGAGAGAAATAAATAAACGGAAGAAATAGGGAGGGTAACCTTGAAGAACTGGTTTGCTACCCTGTATAAGGGTTGGCAAATAAGGGTCGAAAATGGGATAGAGATAAAGAGATATAAAAAATAGAACAAAAAATACATATTCACACACATGCAGGGCGTTCTGATCGCCCTGTATCGAAAACAGAAGTATAAAAGGCCATAGATAAAGTCAATCTTGGCAAGCCACCGGGGCCTGATGGCCTGACTGCTATGCTTCACAAGACATTTAGATGTGAACTATTCGAACTGCTTACAGAAGCTTTTAACGAGTCATATAAACTAGATAGTCTACCTCAGTGTTTAAGTAAGGCTCATACTGTTTTGATAAGGCCGAAAAGACAGATAAGTTAAAAAAACTTTCGTCATATCGGCCTATATCTCTAAATAACTGCGACAAGAAATGCTTATTTCTTGCTTGCCTCTTTATTGCTTGTTTTCTCATGATATTGCAGCAACAGATATTTTGTCATGTATATTTATCTAGATATATAATATCTTGCAAGTTGCTTTCCCATTGATTTTGTAGCAAGAATCATAATTAAGTTGACTTCAGTATACTACAGGCGTGTAGTAAAATACCCACTTCAGCACGATTTAAGACGAACTGTATGGAACGCGGAAAATTCACATGTCATATTTGTAAGGCACTCAATATTCAAATCTGAGAAAAATCATGAGTGATTGTGTTGCATTGTTTGATTATCAGTAATTAAAGTATATGAGTGCGCTACTACTTACATAATTTTCCTGCTATACGTAAGCTCCTATATTTGCATAAAAATAGTCTAAAATAGCACCGACATATACGCACACTTTGTTTTTTGGTTATATATGTTTAGAGCACAAAAAAAGTGGTTGAGTTGTTTCGGTTGACGCACAAACGAGTTGAACGACAGACAGACAGACAGACAGACAGACAGACAGACAGACAGACAGACAGACAGACAGACAGACAGACAGGCAGACAGACAGACAGACCGACCGACCGACCGACCGACCGACCGACCGACCGACTGACCAAACGTTGGCTTCGATGTATCCTAAGTAAGACAATTGTTTTTTTTAAAAAAGGTTTCATTTTTGCCGTGTAATGCCGTACGATTAACGATGGTCTAACATGGTTTTGTCTGCCGCAATCATCCTCTGCAGAAAACACAGCACAGTAAAAACATGGTCGCTTGTTCTTCGCACAGAATGCCTCCAGAGATGTGCCCATAGAGTTTCTGGCTATTTGAAGGAGCAGGGCGTGTGACGCGCGTTCAAAGCTTGCTTACACAACTGTGTACGCCGTAGTAGAAGCGGATATTCATGTAACAGATTGGAACACCAACTAGCCGCTCATAATGACGGTTAAAGTACTTTTGTAAGCATTTTTGTGTTGAGGTAATTGAATAAAGACACACTGATTGATTGACCTCTGAAAATAGCAGACTCTGGTGCTAAGCTTTCCAATTCTTCTGTGAAATTGCTGTGATTTCATCACTTTGGAGCTCTGCTCAGCTGCCACTTTTCGAATATCTCGAAGCAGCGGTGAAGTATTCGCATTTATCGCAATAATTACTCCATTTTCGAATGTGAACCACCCGCGCCTAACTATCGAGTGAAAAGTTAAATTTGCTCAAAAGTACTGCAAATAGGGCGACTTTGTCATGCATAAACTTGGCTTTTATGAGCACGGCACATATAAGGACACAAGAGATCCTTGACGTAGCCAGAAAATATTGCTTTTTTTGATATAACACACGCATGGCCAGTTATGGTGCTCGTTAAAGAAGTAGTGGCACAGATATCTTATCTTTGTATAAGTAAGTGTTGCTGCGTACTGGTGATTGCGGTGGCAGATATAAGACTTTACTCATTAGAATTATACGGTTTAAATTACTACAAGAAGGTGTTGTATCCCAGTAAGGCTATGTCAATTTTTTGAATATGACCAGTTTCCCAGTAAGGCTATGTCAATTTTTTGAATATGACCAGTTTCTTTGATCTGTATCCGATACTCACGAAGCACACAGTTGTTAGTGTACATTAAACATCTATGGAGAAGTATGTTGAAGGAGGAAGGTACTTCCAATTTCTGCTCTCAGAGTAACCTAGCAAAAGGTTAGTATGTCTTATTACATGCACAAATCAGTCTGTCCAGGTTATATTTAAAATAGCTAGATCGAAGGTCTTGTCGCTTACTACCATCTTACATAAAAAAGTGTTGATGGGGGCGCGCTCAGGTAGCTTACGTTTTTCCTGGATCCATGCTACATTGCACGTTTCACACTTTGAAAAGTTACGCTGCAAAACAAATATATGTTTTTGCGATGTAGGTTACACACACTGCGAGTAACGAGTTCTGTTTGTTCTTTCCGCTTCGAATCGTTGGTGTGCCAGCCAATGCTTTAGTTTGATACAGTGTTGTAATGCCTAAAATGCTTTGAAGTGGATGCAGAGAACCAACTTTCTGTAAGTTATTGAATATTTTGCACTTAGTATTTTACAGGCTAAAGCCACTCTGTGTGACCTGTGACATTTATATGCAATTTTGTCATTCGTGCTGTTTGTTGTCAAGCCTTCAAGGTTGCCTCAGTATATTTGGCCGTCCGGTATAGGTTGAGATAGCCCAGCGGTATACTTGGTGCGGATGACAATTGAGCCCAGAAAATATTATTTAAAAGGGCGCAGTTCCTTCCTGTGTTCCATTTATTAACATTGAAAAAAAAAACAATGCCGTCCTCATAAAGAGAACTGCTCATTAAGTCCTACTGATCAATTATGCTTTAACGGGTGTGTGAGCGAATGTTTTCCTAAATATCGACAAGTCAAATGTAGCAAAGTTAGCCAACCAAATTATGAATCCTCCTACCTCCGTGTGTCCTTCTTACATACCGAGTGTTTCACATTCGTAGGAATTTTATGCAGTTCATGCTGGTACTCAAAATAAAACTAAAATACAACAAAAATATATTCTTTACAGAGGCAATCACGTTACCATGACAACAAAGTGAGTATAAATATCATGCGCTCTACTTTGGGGACTTTTACAGGACCGAGTGGCTTTGAATAAAATGCTTTATTAAAAGCAATGCAGAAACAACACTGACACAGCTTAAGTAAGAATGTGCGCAAATGTTCACACGAACTTTTTGTGAACTGCGATGAACACCTTATAAATACTGCTCAAGTGTTCGTGCTGAAAAAGGAGGTTCTAGCTGAGTCAATGTTGTCTCCTTGCTCCACTTCTTCTGGTCACTACGAAGCGTTAAATTAGAAATGTTGGAACGGGGTTTATTGGCACAAGTAGTGCTTGCACAGCAGGTTTATTGATGCGGGAACCGGGCGGCAGGAACCGACGCTGGATACACAACGCTCGGGGCAACAGCTCGCGCTCGGCTCCTCTTCCTAAAGGCGTGACCCACTGCGGCACATATTCTTCTTCCTCTCTACAATACCCCTGCACCGAAGACGAGCCATCCTGGCAAGTCAAGGTGATGATATTAGGAGTGGGTCGTGATATGGCTTGAGACGACTCACGTGTACAGTCTCACGACCAAGGCGTCGCCTGTCTGTAGATGGCGTGACCGGCTCGATCACGTATGTGACAGGAGGTCCACGTTCGACGACGCGATAAGGACCGTGAAACTTGGGGGCAAACTTAGCGGACAGACCTGGGGAGTGGAAGGGCAGTCGAAGCCAGACAAGCGAGCCCACGGCAAAAGTCTCGACTTGCTGGTCGCGGTCGTGGCGGTCTTTTTTGAATGCTTGCTTGTCCGAGGTGAATGATCGGGCCAACTGACGACACTCCTCAGCGTGGTGCAAAATTTCAGAACGAGGGCTGAACTCTGAGACGTCGGGACGATACGGCAAAATGGTGTCAAGGGTGGAGCATGGCTCACGCCCATATAGAAGAAAGAAAGGCGAGAAGCCTGTGGTTGACTGCGTCGCGGTGTTGTACGCATAGGTCACAAATGGGAGAATGACATCCCAGTTTGATTGGTCGGAATTGACATACATGGCAAGCATGTCTCCTAGCGTTCGGTTGAAGCGCTCAGTTAGACCGTTGGTCTGCGGGTGGTAGGCTGTAGAGGTGCGGTGCACCGTGCGGCATGCCTGAAGGAGTTGCTGTACAACTTCGGATAAAAAGACACGCCCTCGATCACTTAGCAGTTCACGTGCTGCCCCGTGACGCAGTACGAAGCGTCGCAAAATGAAATTGGCTACGTCACGTGCACCAGCCGTAGGTAGTGGAGCTGTTTCAGCATACCTCGTCAGATGGTCGACGGCGACAGTGATCCATCGATTTCCAGTGGCAGTGTAAGGAAGGGGACCATATAGATCGATACCAACGCGGTCGAAAGGGTGCGCCGGACACGGTAGAGACTGTAATAATCCGGGTGAATGGGCAGCTGTCTTTCGTCGTTGGCATAATGAACAAGACCGAATGTATTTTCGTACAAAAGTGTACATACCACGCCAGTAGTAACGCTGGCAGATCCGCTGATATGTTTTTAACACACCAGCGTGAGCATGTTGTGGGTCGGCATGAAAATATGCACAGACATCAGATCGCATGTGGCGTGGTATAACCAAGAGCCATTTACGACCATCCGCATGGTGGTTTCTGCGGTATAGTTGCGCGTCCCGTATCGCGAATTGTGTGGCTTGGCGGCGAAGAGCGCGTGGGTACGCAGACGTTGAAGAGTCGGAAGGAATGTTAAGGAGAGATGTTATCCATGGGTCTTTCCGCTGTTCAGACGACATGCTTTTGACGGAAATGGGAGCGATGGAGAAGTTGGTGTCCGAATGCAGGTCTGCGGAGGATCTCACTGGTGATCGTGAGAGGGCGTCCGCATCAGAGTGTTTTCGTCCTGAGCGGTAGACGACACGAATGTCGAATTCTTGTAGTCGAAGAGCCCAACGTCCAAGGCGACCTGAAGGATCTTTTAGCGACGCCAGCCAACAAAGTGCATGGTGATCGGTCACAACGTCGAAACTCTGTCCGTACAAGTAAGGACGAAACTTGCTTAACGCCCAAACGATTGCGAGGCATTCTTTTTCAGTTACCGAGTAGTTTATCTCCGCTTTCGTGAGTGCGCGGCTTGCGTATGCGACGACGTACTCTGGAATACCTGGCTTTCGTTGCGCGAGTACTGCTCCCAGACCAACGCCACTGGCATCTGTGTGCACTTCAGTGGGGGCACTTGGGTCGTAATGGCGTAAAATCGGTGGGGACGTAAGTAGGCGGCGCAGTGTAAGGAAAGCTTCGTCACATGCCGGGGTCCAGTTAGAAAGATTAGCTGGACCGTTCAGTAGTTGTGTAAGTAGGGCTATTATTGTTGCAAAGTTGTGGACGAAACGACGAAAATACGAGCACAAGCCGATGAAGCTCCTAAGTTCTTTGAGTGAAGTCGGCTTCGGAAAGTCTGCTACGGCTCGAAGTTTGTCTGGGTCGGGGTAAATTCCATCCTTTGTCACAACGTGACCAAGTATCGTAAGTTGGCGAGCCCCAAAGCGGCACTTCTTTAGGTTAAGCTGGAGGTTTGCCTTGGTAAGACACTGAAGAAAGGTGCGCAGACGGTCGACGTGGGTAGGGAAATCAGGAGAAAATACAATAACATCATCGAGGTAACATAAGTATATCTGCCATTTAAGGCCGCGTAAAATGCTGTCCATCATTCGCTCAAACGTTGCAGGTGCATTGCACAGACCGAATGGCATAATTATGAATTCGTATAGGCCATCCGGCGTAACGAATGCTGTTTTGGGACGGTAACACTCTGCCATCGAAACCTGCCAGTAACCTGAACGTAAGTCCAGCGAAAAAAAAAATTTGGCACCTTGTAGGCATCGATAGCGTTGTCGATGCGGGGAAGAGGGTATACATCTTTCCGGGTAATTTTGTTCAGTCGCCGGTAGTCGACACAAAATCTAATCGAACCGTCTTTTTTCTTCACTAGCACCACAGGTGAAGACCAGGGGCTAGACGATGGTTTGATGACGCCGCGCTGAAGCATATCATCCACCTGTTCTGCAATTACACTTCGTTCCTTGGGTGATACGCGGTAGGGGCGTTGCCGCAAAGGAGGGTGCGTTCCAGTGTAGATTGTGTGAGCGACGGTGTTAGTTTGACTCAGTGCCTTTTGAGGAAGGTCAAATGAATCTCGGAATTCATGGAGAAGGGTCATTAGCTGGTCCCGTTGATCCGGAGGAAGCTTGCTGTCGATGGAACGATTGAAGATATCCGAGGAGTAGTCATCCGGCGTGAAAAGAGGAGTAACGGCGTTCAGTTGAAGTTGCTGGCCAGGGTCGTGGGACTCAATAGGCACAATAACGTTGTCATCAACAGAATGAACATAGCCCAGTGTTTCGTGAGCTCTTAAGGTGAGAGGGAATGAGCTATGATTGCAAACGACAATTCCGGAAGTATCCTGGTGAGGTGGCAGAACGGCGTATGGCAGAGACGTACCGTGGCGGCGACTGAAAACGTCAGATGGCGAGAACACAACGGTAGAGCCGGATAATTCAGTGCGATTGACGGGGACAACGATGGCACTAAGAGGAGGAACATCAACGTCGGAAGCAACAAGAAGCTTGCCCAGGTGAGTGCACTCATTGTCGGTAGATGGCGCATCTGAAAACACAGATAATTCCACCTGCGCGCGAGCGCAGTCAATTACGGCGTGGTGGCGTGACAAAAAATCCCATCCAAGTATCATGTCGTGGGCACAAGTGGTCAACACGAGAAACTCAATGTGGTACAGGACGTCTTGAATGTTTACTCTCGCCGTACATGCTCCGACTGGTCGAAGTGGTTGCGCACTCGCGGTATTCAGCAAAACGTCGGAAGGCGGCGTCGTTACTTTTCGTATCGAACGGCAGAGTTACTGACTCATCACAGATACGGCGGCACCCGTATCAACAAGCGCAAGAGTTCGTATACCTTCAACAAACACTTCCAGAACGTTTGTGGGGGACGGGCGAGGACTTGTACAATGCGCCGATTTCGCAGCTCGTGCCTCCGGAGCTGCGGCAGTCAGTTTTCCGTCTCTACAGGGTTCGGTCGGTGACGCAGAGGGGACGGAGAACGGTAGCAGCCTGGTGAGGATGAGCGACGGGGACCGAATGATCGGTAGTCGGCAGCAGGGCGGTGGTCTAGTTCGGTTGGTGACGGGTCGCGTTCCACTGATTGTCGGTCGCATTGACGTGGCAGTTCTCGTTGCGCGTTGTACGGGGCCGGTAAAGAGTAGTCAGGGTACCTCGGAGGTGCAGCCGGACCCGTTGCGAAGCGCCGGCGACAGAATCGCGCCACGTGACCTGGATATCCGCATGCGTAACAGATCGGGCGATTGTCAACTGTGCGCCAAGGGTTTCCGTTATAGCGCTGTTGTGTTGCTGGAAATGACGTCGTTGATACTCGTACAGGCTGGGGAGTCGGCCCAAGCGGAGGTCGTGGTGGAGTTGCAGTAACAGCAGCATAAGTCAATGGCGCGGTGACGGGTGCTGTCTGGGAGACGGACGGCGATGCCTCAGAGACCTGCGCCTGTATTACCTGCCTGATGGCGGGCGCGAGACGCTCAGAAGAGGGTTCCGTTGCCGGTAGATACGACAGGCACGAAAGTTGTCGGGCCACCTCCTCGCGCACATATCGTTTGATTTCGGACATTATTGCGCTGTGGTCTCCACCCAGGCTCAATGCCGCGAGAGTTTCATTGGTAGCCGCTGGACGCCGTGTCATGACTCGTTGTTTGCGCAACTCCTCGCAGCTCTGGCAAAGAGTGGCGAGTTCGGAAACGGTACGTGGGCCCTTGGCCAGCAGCATCTGGAAGGCGTCGTCGTCTATCCCCTTCAAAATATGTTTGATTTATTCTGCCTCAATCATTGAAGGGTCAAGGCGCTTGCACAAGTCGAGCACATCCTCGATGTAGCTTGTGAAGCCTTCTCCTTGAAGCTGTGCGCGTCCCCGTAGGCGCTGTTCGGCACGGAGATTGCGTACCTCGGGGCGAC